AACTTGTCAGGCTAGCGTCGACTCTGCATAAAAAGGTCCGACTTCATATGTCAATGACTTGCCGCTTCCCGTGGGCTCGCTGACAAACACATCTCTCCCATCTGTGTCTGTGTGATAGTGTCTCGCTGGTAATCTTTGCAAGTAATATCATGGTAGTCTAAACGTTCCAGCACTTTTAAAGCCAAAACAAAGTCAGCTTGGACATTCAGTTGTGAGAAATGACAAAATAAACGGTGCCAGCAATAGATTTCGAGTATGAAAGAACAAAATAAACGCAATCAAAGGCGCCGACCACGCGCGTTGGGAATAAATAGAACGCGTCGCGACGAGAAATCTCTTTCACTCAGGCAAACGCGCACACACATGCTATTTCCGTACATTGAATACGTTGGCAACGGAAAGGACAAGTTTAAATCATCTTTGTAAGCAACAGTCTCACACTGAATATAAGTTTATAAATTATCAAACTAACATTCAATGAATCGGACTGCGACGGTTAAGACGAAAGGACAAGGCTAAGACGAAAAACATGTGACAGTACGATTATGCTCGTCTAGTACACGCCCGGGGAGTACAAATTCAAGTATCTAACTTCCCAATACAAAAGAGGATTTAGTATCAGCAATAATTTCTAGTACTGCCTGGATAATTGTGTATTATTAGTTGACATCAGACATATAACTGTACAAGATTTTTTGAACAATGTCTCAAATTTCCTAAAGAATATTCAAATAAGTTGGGATTAATATGAATTGAATATCCATCTTTTGAAAAATCAGCTAAACAGTTCACCAGCCACGATTATGGTGAATTGGCGAGTTCTCAACGAAGACGACCGGACGTCTCCGGTCATAATCTGGCTGGTTCGAATTTATCCACTTTTACAGTGATGAATATTGCGTTCGAGTCAATGTATTAAATGTAAGTGCGTTGGGAAATAGCATAATTATATTGCATGAGTGACTGAGGTTGGTGTCACAACGCGTTCTATTTATTTCCAACGCGCGTGGTCGGCGCCTCTGATTGCGTTTATTATGTATTTTTATTATCGAAATGTTTCACTGGCTGAAATTTTTTTTTTGTTATGTCTCGCAACTGAACGTCCAAGCTGACAATGTTTTGGCTGTATACATGCACTCGTCAAAATTTGTTTGTGTCATGATATGAAAAACTGCCGTGGAAAGTGTCGCGATCGCGTGTAGTACAGTTAAAACAAACTTCGCGTAAGTCGCTAATCGTGGGCAATTCAAGTAGCCTGCGACCCCTGACCCTTTTCACGATTGGCCACGATAAAATGATAGACATCTGCGCGACTATCATTTGCATATGGAAGTACCCGGATCTGGTAAGAAATCTTACCAGTGAATTTGCAACACCGGACAGTCGGCGGTCGTGCCTTACGACACTCCATACTTCCTGTCCCGGCGTTCGCAATTTATTCACGGTTATTACGTTTATACACAATATTTATTGATGATAACATATTAATATTAGGTACGACCGACAGTCACGTAAAATGCTAAGATTATTGAAGACAATAGAAAATGCAGACGCGTTTTCTTACTTTACATCGGTCTCAGAAACGTGACGGGATTAGACTCCCGTCATTAAATGAAAACGTTCGCGCAGCTCAAAACATGTTTTGTTGCTATTTCGGGCTGATAATATCATCAAATTATTATTACACGCCGGGAAAAGACGAGATACCGCAAAGTATGCACTCGTGAGTTACCGGAATGCATTGACCTTGCCGATCGAAATAATTAAGAATTAATAATTTCGTACTGCCTTCGTGCATACTTTGCAGTATTTTCGTAATGACCGCAGACTATTGAACAGTAGGGAGAAATAATGAAGTTGCTCACATTGCCTTGAAATGGTTTTATATAATTGTCCGTTCTTCTTTGCAGGTACTCAACATGGACATTTTCTACATTCAAAAATATGGGAGTCCGTGGCCCAACACCATGGCCATTAATCGGCAGCATGTTGGAGTATAGAAAGGTAAAGGAATACCATAAAGTGTATTTTTCATTTCGCATTTGTTGTCTATATTTGGAAAATGAATCTATATGTAGCAAACACATCAAAGTTTCAGATCGATATTTGACAAAATGGTTTGGGGTCATAATTTTCGGTTATTTTTTAAAATAAAAACGTGGAAAGCAACAAATTCGGAATTAACATAATTGCTTGCGTGATGTATTACATCTAGATAATGAATATTTATATTTTATGTTAGGGTATTGTAGTTAAAGACTTAGAATGGACAAAGAAGTACGGCAAAGTGTGCGGGTAAGTCCGTCGAGATTCACGTCAGCAATTATGCCTTTATTTGGAAATTGTTATGAATATTTTCATGAAACATGCACACCGTGACAAAAAATAAACAGTCAGCGTAACCGTCATAACAAGAAATTTCATAAATATTATCTTGTCAGTAGTGAAAACATCGAAAACAGAATGCACTATGAATAAATATATTAATGAATACGTAATACACTTGAAATGTTTTGTATTAATGTTCCTCTTTCGTTTGTAAATTTATAATTCAGAATCTATGAAGGACGTAGACCAATGTTACTCGTTACGGACCCTGAGATGTGTAAACAGATATGTGTAAAACACTTTTCATCGTTCAAGAACAGAAATGTAAGCACAAGCCGTATGCACACACAATGAATTTGTATCGCAAATCTGTACACAGAAGGGGGCTGTAACAACAACAACAATGTGTTTTTTTAATACTCAGACCTTGAATGTAATGTAACATACTGTAATGTAACGTAACGTAATGTAACGATATACAGTTATTTGCCTTGCTTGAGGCCGATATCATAAATTATCGTTCTTCGTGTGGCTGTTAAGTCGAGTGCCGCGGCCAAGAACAGTTTAATAAATATTCTTGCAGTTATTAACTCATAAATGTTTGCTAAAAACATCAGATATCTCATGAAATTACCATTGTGTTTTTTTTCCCAGACACTTCCACTAAAAAGCAAACCAATGAGTTCGCGTTTATTCCAACTTGCTGATGACCGTTGGAAGGTTACTAGGAACACGTTGACTCCATCTTTCAGTGGCTCCAAAATGAGGCTGGTGAGTTGTGTGAGGTACTAGTATACTTAATTGACTAAGGGTGAAACATCGCTGGTGTAAATCATCAGCAGTGTGCTATTATATTATTTGTTTTAGCGACTTTCTATTGCTATGGTCACTGCATGAATCACAAATATTTTGACAAAATTTAGAAACGAAATTTCCTTTCTACCTCAATTCATTCATTCAATGATAAATTAAAATTATTTTTTTCTTATTTATGAGCTCACCGAGGCGGCACCAAGTAATTTTTGAACTGTAGGAATAGGAGTATTTAGAATATATATTTTTCTTAAAGTTGTATCATCTGTTGAACTTTAATGTTTGAACTGAATTGCAATCAACAAGTATGGCGTTCGCGAGTTATTCGTGTTAGAACCTGACTGGTTTTTAGTCCCCGTTCGGTCGTAGTCAAAAAACGGGGACTTGTGTTTTGACCTTTGTACTTCCGTGTGCCCGTGCTTGTGTGCGTCCGAGCCTGTAGCAATCGAAATCAAACTTCACACATACATCATACATAATACTATACATGTGCACATCAATTTGTTCAGAGTGGTGACCATTTTTGTCCTAAAAAATCATCAAAATCAAGCTTTTATGGATGGATTTTGTTTAAAAATTGTATTTGTAAGATCCAATTTAAATTGGCCGACTAGTGGCCATTGTGTTTTACTGAATGCAATTCTAGTGCCATATCCTTGCCATGCTTTGACTGATTATGACCAAATTTTATATATTCATTATACATCATGACATAGGTATATTGGTTTGACTATCTGATTCAAAATGGCCAAATGACAGCCATTTTTGTGCTAAAAACCCTAAAAAATCGGGCATTTCTGGCATTCCAGAACTGGATCTTTGCGTTTATGGATGGATTTTGTTCAAACTTGATACATGCATTAGAGATTATGGGTTCCTGTTGCACGTCATTTTATTTTTTGAATCGGATTCAAAAAAAGCCACATCTCTGATATGTTGTGACTGATTATGTTCAAAATGTTATATGTTTGTTTTACATCATGTAATAGATGTATAAATGTATTCAAAATGGTCGACTGGTGGCCATTTTGTTTTAATTTATGCTTTCCCATTGACAATATGTCAATCATTTTAAAGTTTAAAAATCATCATAGTCAAGTATCATTTACTGGATCCATACTTCTGACATGTCTATGTTCCAACTATATTATTAAAAACAAAACTATATATCTTAAATTTGATAACTAACAGGGCCTGTGCCATGCATGGCTTGTTATATCTGGAATACGTAAAATCCTGAAATGCAACCCTGTTACGAATTCTGCTTTAGAACACACAACTAACCCAAAATTGTACGAAATGTCAATTGCTCGCTTGAACCACAAGGTAACCTCAAACGTATTTACCAAAAAGGGCAGTGTATTTGTACAAGAAATACACACATTTAAAAATTAAAAATGCTTCTGAAATTTGCCATAGCTCCATCTATGAAGATTGGGGTATATTTTGAAAACAACATGCTGAGACCACTCTATTCAGTTAACTGGATACTTAAGTGGGAACTTGACTAGCGTACTTGAGTAGGCACCGAATAATTGTTAAATACAACATCTTAATTGTGTCAATGTTATTACAATTTTGAGACGGGAGTCATTTCGTGAGTAAACGTGGTGTCAGGGCATAATTAAATAAACAATTCATTCGATATAGTAATATAAACAATCACACATGAATTTGTAATTTTATAATGATTTGTTGTTTTCACTAGCAGTATTTTAAAATTGATCTTATAATAAGGTTCATATGTTGTAGGACCTGAAATGTTAACAATGTATACCCAAAAATAGATTCAACATATTTATATAGATCTTATAGGCCTGCAAAGGACTTTCAGCTGCATTGCAATCTTCTCTGTTATTATCATTACAGATGTCTCCTCTTATCAGCAGATGTGCCGATGAGTTAATAAAAAACATGGAGGCACATTGCAAAGAAGGAAAGACAGTACAGTGTAAAGAGTAAGTATTGTTACTATGAAATCAAATACATATTATTAATATCTAGTACATACATAATCGATGTTTGGTTTCACAGTCATAATTCATATCAGGAAAGAATACATGCAAATAATACCAACTGTTATACTCCAAATAAGGATATATAAACTGTCTCATTCCAAATAAAGTTTTACATTCGAAGCCTTTGGCATGTGAAGTACTATGCGAAATATATTAAATTTGCGGTATTCACAGTATATCTACATACACAATAATTCAATTTTTGATCAGTATAACTTTCGAATGCTGGTCATTGGTACCTTAATGGTTGTCGCATCAAACTCATGATCGGTGGACCCAAGTTCAAATCTTACCTTAGGCTTAACATCGAAGAGTCGAGATTCATTCACTAACGAATGCGACTGACTTTGGCGGAACCTTGGTTAAGGTCCGCAGGTGCTTGTGTTCGACCGAGCCTGGTTGACGCCAGGATAGCGCATTAAAATTGCCATTTGATAGAGAAATGGCCACACAGCCCTTTTATGTTGTCCTAAACATAAAACAGAAACAACTTACGAATGCCATAACATACAGGTTCAAGGTTTGACCACGCTACACAAAATTTGAAGGGCCTTCAACTAAATGTTGCAAACAATATATATACCATTTTAACAAAAAATGTTGAAATGATACACACATGATTATATATCTTTCAGTTTGTTTGGTAGTTATGTGGTGGATAGCATTGCAAGTGTAGGATTTGGGATGGATGTTAGTTCGCAGTCTCAACCTGAACATCCATTTGTGAAACATGCTAATTTGACTGCCATACTTAGTTTGTTCAATCCAGTATTTGCTATTGTGTGTAAGTACAAACAACATTAATACTTTTTCAGCTGTCTTATTATAAAATATCTGAATGAATTGTGTTTTTCTGGCAGTGTTATCGGCAATATCGTCACTGGCATAGCCTTGTGTTGAAATTTAAAAATCCATTGATTATTATTCATAACGTCATACTGTAAATGAATCTCAGGCTGGAATCAAACGAAAAATAAGGATATTAAATACACAAAAAAAGTCATGATTATTGCGAGATTTGTTGTTTTTTTCCTAGTTTTCTTCCCATTCCTTCTTCCACTCCTGAAGTATTTTGAGATTCAATTACTGCCAATGAAAACGATCGACTATTTTTCACAAGTTGTCGGAGAAACTATCAAGTTGCGAAACAGTGACAAAGGTGCCAGCCAAGTAAGTGATATTACGTACTATTACATATGACAAACGATTCAGGACACATAGCAGCCTTCCCTATATCATTTTCGATAGTGGAATGGGTGTAGTGTTACAGTACTACTTCTATAATGTATACGCTCATGAAAACATTCTTCATGAAGTCTGAAGTCTTGAATTACAATCAAACCATCTTTTTACAGAGAGTTGACTTCTTACAACTAATGATTAATGCCCATGAGATATATGATGAATATGTAAAGAGCAAAGAAGATGACGAAGATCATGATGAAGGCGTGAACAGAGTGGAATTCATCAAAGATAGCACACATTCTTCGGTTAATTTGAGTAAAGGACTAAGTGAGGATGAAATGCTCGCACAGGTACGATGTACATCATCTTCAAAACTTGAAGAATCAATTCAGCGAATCAGAATTCTATCTGATTAATATTTTGGTAAAACAGGCACCACGTGCCCCGTTGATGTATAAGTAAACTACAAAGCGTGTGGTGTTGTTGCATTCTTAGTTCAGTATAGAGGTTTTACGCGACATTTTGTTGGCCCAGTTTGTGTAATATACACTGTCTTTTTTTACTTCTGTTCATTCCCTGCATTCCTTCACTCTTCTCCCTTGTCCATTCTTCTCATTATTTTATTTCTTTCTTCTTGCTAATATACATCTACACAACTAAACTAGCCTTTTAACTAAAATCGAATGGTATCTCTGAAATGTTTAATCACCAATCGTCCATCATTAGTATGTTGGTACTGCCAGTCATGTTTTACCTGATGATTGATTCCATATTATTCCATCAGTCTATTGTATTCTTCATTGCTGGATATGAAACTACCAACGCCACGATGTCATTCGTGTGCTATAATTTGGCAACCAATCCGGAAACGCAAGAGAAGTTACAGAAAGAAATTGACGAGGTCATGTGTAACTATGATGATGTGGGATATGAGGCAGTCAGCAAGATGAAATACTTAGATATGGTAGTTTCAGAAACACTCAGAATGTTTCCCCCTCCAAGTAGGTATGTAGTGATATATATATAGTAGCAAACATTTGGCAGTTTTCAATATTTAAAATCATCCATTGAACGTTCGGAATAAAAATGTATTGTACAAACATTTTATCAAACAGCGGGACAAGTTCTGTATTTCAGCACGGGCCGGCACCAGTTTGTGTAGGCTAATAGTTCATTCATAAGTGAGGGTATTGATGATATTGTTCCCGTGTTTTCGACCCTGGTTTAATACTTTATTTTTGTAACATAGTGATGTGCGTATCTGTAACAAATAAGTCGCTATGATCATGAAAAAATCGTTTGTTGCGTGTTTATATTTTTGTAATTTGTCTGAGCTTTTGTTTATAGGTTTAATCGCGAATGCAACCAAGACATCAACATTAATGGAATAAATATCCCCAAAGGAATGACTGTGTCTGTCTCTCCCTATGTCATTCATCATGATCCAGACAATTATCCAGATCCAGAAAAGTTTATTCCAGAAAGGTAAGAATTAACAAACTGACAAACATTGTACTAATCCATATGCTCCAGATTTTAGATGTGTTCTTTCAAGATGATTCACATACAAAAATGTGGAATAATAGATAAAACAAAGTTCTAATTCCATCATATACCAACTGTTGATTCTGCATATTTATACTAAATTGTGATAATGTTATTCCTTCATTTTGTCCTGTGGGTGTCCATCTCGTCACTGTTTATCCCCACGCTATTCCGAGCAGCATTTTTCTATAACCTATAATCTTAATTGGAATGGTTGGAGTGTGGCGTTGTGAGGTGTGTGTCTGCCGATAGTTGCGAGGCTCTTTTCGTTGGTGATGAGTTCACATGATTATATGTTCGTAATTTTGCAGTGATTATGTTTAACTAAATGTAATGTCTGTAAAGCCATAAAATAGGCCAGTATTGAAATCATACTTTATTGAACTCATGAATACAGATTCAGTAAAGAACAGAAAGAGAAGCGACACCCATATGCCTGGATACCGTTTGGTGCCGGACCTCGTAACTGTATTGGTATGAGATTTGCATTGATGGAATTAAAGATGGGATTGGTTCGTGTATTGCAGAAGTTCACCTTTGAACCGTGTGCGGAAACTGAGGTATGTGTCAAATGGAATTTATATGTTACCTCCACCATAACAATGCTTTGTTGGGGTGGTTTGTTTGTTTGTTGAGACTAAAACATGTGTAGGCTAATTTGTGTGGAATTATTTGGAGGCGTTTGCCTTTGAGATGGAGACCAATAGTTGCCATTTTAGTTGTGGTGGCACGCATTTTTTTTTTAAAAAATCACCATTGTCAGACAGTCATTTTCTTTGAGAAAGACAACTAAATATTGTATCAACGAAATTTCATGTAATTTGTACGTAAGGTTACAATTGAAAAACAAACCGATTGGATTTTATGGGAATGTCGGTTACTTGGCCATTGTTGGATACATAAAAACCGTAAGGACGACTTTCATGACGACCATAAAGACCAGATAGAGTTACATATTGTGAATGCTGGACCCGGTTGTTATGCATTTAGGGATGTTGAAAAGATTCTTCGCCATTGCAAAGCAACCAGAACAGTAACGCCTTGCGAATGAGCACAACATACTTAAATTGAATAGGCATAATTATTCATGCACGCCTACCAGACGTTTCAGGAAAAACGCTTAGCGTGGTTTACTTATATTCAAGAGTAGAACTAATATTTATTTATTTATTTATTTATTTATTTATTTACTTACTTACTTACTTACTTACTTACTTACTTACTTACTTACTTACTTACTTACTTACCTACTTACTTACTTACTTACCTACTTACTTACTTATTTACTTACTTACTTACTTATTTACTTATTTACTTACTTATTTACTTATTTACTTATTTACTTACTTATTTACTTATTTACTTATTTACTTACTTATTTTCTTATTTACTTACTTATTTATTTATTTATTTATTTATTTATTTATTTATTTATTTATTTATTTATTTATTTACTTACTTACTTACTTACTTACTTACTTACTTACTTACTTACTTATTTATTTATTTACTTATTTACTTACTTACTTATTTACTTATTTACTTACTTACTTACTTGCTTACTTATTTACTTACTTACTTACTTACTTACTTGCTTACTTACTTACTTACTTACTTACTTACTTATTTACTTACTTACTTATTTACTTATTTACTTATTTACTTATTTACTTACTTATTTACTTATTTACTTATTTACTTATTTATTTATTTATTTATTTATTTATTTATTTATTTATTTACAGATTCCTCCGGTGCTTGGCAAGGGGATATTTTTGACCCCACCCAATGGTATTAAACTCAGCGTTAAATTGCGAGAATGAATACTCAGGAAAGCGAGTACATCATTTATCAAGAACATATAATACCAATGTGATTACACATTTGTGTGGTACTCGTACTGAATCTAAACTATTTATGTTTATTTTTGGGGTTGGTGATTACTTCTTAGAAGTTTTGCCTGACATAGTTTTTTTAATGACATTTTGACATTTCTTGCAACAACAAAATGTCTTCTTATCTTCTGTCACCATTGTGATACACATAATTATCAATCAACTTTATATTCACCGATATTCGTTATTCATTATCTACATTATCATAGGCAATGCAGTAATACTTACGCGATGTTATAAATACACGTATAGAAATATGAAATTCGGATGAAACATTCGTGTGTATATTCAGGGCTTCAAGTCTATATTGTTATTGACTGGCCTGGCCCTGTTATTTAAATATTGTATATTATCATTCCTTTCAAGAATAAAGAAATCGTGAAATGTAGTACAATTTCTTGTTTGGTATTAGCAAAAGACATATCTGAAACCAATAGAAATGCTATACAGTCACACACCATAGGAATGTATTAGTACAGTTCAAACACTTTCTCGTCTCTACACATTATTATAATGCTGTAGTTCAATATGCAATCGAAAGTGTTTTTTCCTGGATTCCCCGGTCACGACGGCCCACATTATAAATGTATATTTCACGAGCCCTGCTATATGATTGGTTGTGCCATTCAAAATAGGTCACAAGGTCACGCTACGTTGTTGTTGTTGTTGTTGTTGTTACTTCAACGTGTATAGGATTGCGAGACTGCGTGAACGGTGACAGATTTATATAAACTTGGAAAGATGAACGTCACATCAAAGTATTTCGCATTGTTCTTATGATCATAATATCAGAGAATTGTATCCATTTATTTGAGTAGACAGAGTGGGACAATTGCAGGTTTGTATTACACGTGATAATGTTTCAGGTTCAAAGTTTGTTCAAATTGTCGACGGCCCCGGATTGGTCAGACACTCATTTTCGTCATAGCACAAGGACGAATAAAGTGACGAATTGGGTGACGCAATGTACACAGACTTAGCATTTAGATTTACAAATAAACTTTCATCATGTTTTAAGACTGAATGTACGCAGACATTGCGTTTATTTTCACAAACGACCGTTCGCCACATTTACGATTCACAAGTGAACTTTCACCACATTTTAAGGTTAAATGCACGCAGACGTTGTGTTACGATTCACAAGTGAACTTTCACCACATTTTAAGTTTGAATGTACGCTGACATTGTGTTACGATTCACAAGTGAACTTTCACCACATTTTAAGGTTGAATGTACGCTGGCATTGTGTTACGATTTACAAGTGAACTTTCACCACATTTTAAAGTTGATTGTCCGAACACACTGCCTTATTGTACGCTCATTTGTATGCGTTCTTTTCAGCCCTTCACAGTTTTTGTGCTTTCTTATGCTAATACGTCTCCCAACTTGTTGTGATAGAACAATGCGTAAAGGCCATACACGTTATTCTTTCTATTCAGTTTACAAGACGAAAATATTGATACCCAACATTCCCAATTCAGAGTGTGTTTGCTCAAGTAAAAATAAATGATCATCCTAAATGTCCTGCTCTAGACTGGCAATATTTGCTAGGCGGAACATTTGAGGGTGTGTCTATTTGCCAGATGAGATTGTTCAATGTCATTACGATTGAGTAAAATATATAAAATAAATAAAAATAAATATAAACAAAACAAAAAGGATAATTAAAAAATACTTGTATGAGAAGGACGAACTTGAATAAACAAAATGTATTCTCGGGGAGGGAACTATTGACGTAATTACATTGATAAGGGACGACGTCAAAAGATCGATGGTCCGAGTGTAAATAAGTGCGTCAAATGAGGTCAATATTAGGGCACGGACTTAGAACCAACTGCTATGATATACTACTGTCCGATTATCAATTTGTATTTAATGGTGAATGATCAATATTTATCAATTAAGTTTCAGTGGGGGTGGAGGGTTTTGGGAAAAAAATAGAGGAATTAAGTTTTGTATCCTACATTGAACTTTTGATGTTGTCCCTAACACAATTAGTACGCAAAGTATATAATTTATTGATGTAAACAAGCTCGCGTGCATGATGCCTAACTTCCGACCTCGCCGTACTGAGCATGCGCTGTTTACTTTGTATACGCGTCTATAAATAGCTTGGATTGGGGAGTTGAATTCAGAAGGAGTTTCTCGGGACAAGGTAAAGCAACTCTGAATTACTACGTCATGGAGATGTCTTGGTTCCACAGCTTTTCACCCACAACTTTCGTCCTTGTTGTCATAGTGATAGTTCTCCTGTATCTGTAAGTATAGTATTACGAGCGTTAATGTATATAGTGAATTTCTTTATGTTTTCAGCTAAGCGCTGGAATTATCAGTACATTCTCGGCTAATCAGTTGCGGACAGCCCGGTTTTATGGCCAGGGTTGGGGGTAACAAAATACGAGGGACCACATCGAGATTTTGGTATCATAATTATTTTCATTTAATCGAGCAAATGACGTAATTGTTCTGGAATAAGATAACATATTGTTTCAATATTATACTAACTCCATGCACACTTACGGACCTGAAGCTTGAAGATTTCTCATAGGTTTAAAATTACACGAAACAACTACTGAACGTCCGGGTACATGCAATATAGGCTACTTTAACCCCACCACCACTCAATATAGGTCATACTACAGGGTCACGCTGATTCGTAGTTTTTGTTTTTCTTATCGTGTATACGATTGCCACAAAGCGTCAGATTTGCATCAAGTCGGAATGACCGTGAATGTCAAACAAAAGCACCTCGATAACGTCATCGCTATAACCACTTTACTCGCAATGAGCAGTATTACATTTTCGTTTCTTTGGAAAAACTGCATTGTCTGTACCCCAAGCGCTCGAGGTTGTAATGTTACATGTGTAGCATTATCCTACCGGGCGGGCGGAACATTACAACCTCCAGCGCGGGGGTACATTGTCTTATGATTTCAGTCTTGAAACACCAAAACAAGAGAGCGGCGTTCTTGTGAGCGGGAGTACTGGAGCACTTGTTATCATATACCTCGTATTGCCCGGCAATGTAACCCTATGGAAGTGAGCCCTTACATCAGGGCAATAATTATACGTATCACGCCAGGCTTTCACCAATCAAAACAAAACGCGTCGTGTATTTGAGGTTACGTCGTGGTAAAATTGTAATTACACAGATATTCACGATGGTGCAGGTCCCTGGATTGGTCATACCCAAATTGCACCATGGCGTAAGAATGAATACTGTGCGATTATTGTGGCGTTGCGTACTTAAATAATAATATGACCTGTAGACATTCCGATAATCACATTTCATATTTCAATGTACCGACACACTACGTAATGAAAACCGTAAATGAACGTTCACCACAATCCAGGGTTCAATGTACCGACACACTGCGTAATAAAAACCGCAAATGAACGTTCACCACATTTCATGTTTCAATGTACCGACACACTACGTAATAAACACCGTAAATGAACGTTCACCACAATCCAGGGTTCAATGTACCGACACACTGCGTAATGAACACCGTAAATGAACGTTCACCACATTTCATGGTTCAATGTACCGACACACTGCGTAATAAACACCGTAAATGAACGTTCAGCACATTTCATGTTTCAATGTACCGACACATTACGTAACAAAAACCGTAAATGAACGTTCACCACAATCCAGGGTTCAATATACCGACACACTACGTAATGAACACCATAAATGAACGTTCACCACATTGCATGGTTCAATGTACCGACACACTACGTAATGAACACCGTAAATGAACGTTCACCACATTTCATGGTTCAATGTACCGACACACTGCGTAATAAACACCGTAAATGAACGTTCAGCACATTTCATGTTCAATGTACCGACACATTACGTAACAAAAACCGTAAATGAGCGTTCACCACAATTCATGGTTCAATGTACCGACACACTACGTAATGAACACCGTAAATGAACGTTCACCACATTTCATGGTTCAATGTACCGACACACTACGTAATGAACACCGTAAATGAACGTTCACCACAATCCATGGTTCAATGTACCTGACACACTACGTAATGAACACCGTATTAAAATGAACGTTCACCACATGTCATGGTTCAATGTACCGACACACTACGTAATAAAACCCGTAAATGAACGTTCACCACAATCCAGGGTTCAATATACCGACACACTACGTAATGAAAACCGTAAATGAACCTTCACCACATTTCATGGTTCAATGTTCAGGCTTGAATTGTGACATGTTGCCTAAAGGAAGAAAAAAACAATGATCGCGTGAAAACGCTTATCGAAGACACAATTGCTACTCACCTCAATGGCATTGAAAACAATAGAAAACGTAGACGCGTTCGAATGTCTTCCTTAATTGGTTTTCTTACTACATCGACATCTGAAGCGCGACGGGATTAGACTCCCGTCATTAAACGCAAACGTTCGCAAAGCTCAGAACGTTTTTCGTTGCCATTTCGGGCTGATACATCTCATCAAATTATTATTACACGCCGGAAAAAGACGAGAATGCTGCAAAGTATGCACTCAGGCGTTACGGGAACGCATTGACCTTGCCGATCGTAAGGATTGCGTATGCCTCTGTGCATACTTTGCGGTATTCTCGTAATTACCGTTTACTATTTATTGAACAGTAGCGAGAAATATTGAAGTTGTTCACATTGCCTTAAGTTAGCGAGACTATTATTTGTGTTGAAAATTACGATTTTCACATTTATTTATTAATTGATGAAATGCACTATAAACTTTCATATGATAAAGTCAACATAACATAGAATGTCATGTACGTTGGTTAAAATGTTGATTTTCTGTAGGGAAGCAAGGCAGCCTCTGTCGTGTTTTCCAAAATCAACAACACAGGTTTAATCTGTGTGCCTATAAGTTTCAAAGATTAACTAAAGACAAAGCAATGTTAAAGTGTGTTATCAGTAGCTTTAGTGGTTTGTCTCCGCCCCGTTTGTTTCAAAGATTAGCCGTTTGCATATGAATGTGTCAGGCACACAGACACAAGGTCACATACCCACTGAAAAAAAAAACATTGATTTTGGTGTTCTCATCTGCCGATTTTATCGAATTAAAGCTATCCCATTCCTCTATTTTTTTGGGTTTCCAATAGCCTTACACATTTGGGTGCCCCTACATATGTTAAAACAGACCTTGAAGGGAAATCAAATCGATTGTCATGATAATCAAGCTTGAAAATCTTTGCTGTGACTTCATGAACATTTTTCTTTTCAAAATACAAGGTCTTTAACAAAAAATAACATATACTTATTATCGTCAGATTAACACCAAATTCCCACAGCTTTAAGGTAACAATGAGCGGAACTTGAATGTGTCCAGACAAACTATTTCGTGGATTATTTACCAACGTGTTGTGGTTT